GAACCACCCCCCCATCGCCAAGAGAAGAGACCCATGGCCAAGATGATCGGAGGAGCAGAAGAGTGGGAAGTCGAAGAGATCGTGAAGGAGCGAAACGCTGGCCGAGAAAAACAGTACTTGGTCAAATGGAAGGGATGGCCGCATAGCGAGAACACCTGGGAGCCATCACGACACCTTACCCACGCGAAGAAGGTCCTGAGAGATTGGCAGAGGAAACAATCAAACCCAGACACACGCATTCGCCTCTTGCCAACACTCGAAACTGGACATTGGGACTATCTGATTCACCGCTACCAACCCAAAGACGAGCGCCTTCCATATCCCCAACGACAGCTCTTCAACCCTTACAAGAACGTCTTCTTACCCATTGGCCTAGTCGATGAGGACATCGACCCTAGAGAGGGGGTAATGTCATAGTTCGGCCACTTTTTCATCTTATCATCAACGATCTCATCTTATCTTGGCACGACTTATCTTATCACGGATCATGGCATCAGACGGTCCGGGCTAGGGGTTCCAGGGATTATCTTCATCGATTCGAGGCTGCGCGACATATGCTCCGGAAGGTTCTACTACGACCCATGACCAGCGTTCCATGCGGTACATAGCCCTATGACTCATTAGTTGTAGATATGACTCAGACTGGATTTGGGTATAAATACTGTAGCTACTTGGTTGTATTCTCCAGTCTTCGAATTCACTTCTCTTTTCGACTTTGTTTTTGGGTTGATTGTCACAGGCTTTCCCTCAGCACATCAGAAGGAACGTGTGTGTCTCCACATGGGGGCCGATTCTCCTCCTCAGATCGATGTAGTGCGTGATCCAACCGCTGATGTTCTCGGTGTTGTCGGCATTACGAGCCACAATGGGTTGCGGAAGCTCTTGGATATCCAGCTTTTCTGCCCGTGCGTAGTCGGTATCGATGCAGCAGGTACTGCAGCCGCTATTGAGGAGCGCCTTGACTTCGTGCATTTTCCCCGAGTCCAGACCCGTGATCTAGACATATACATCCATCGAATGCCTCTTTCTTTTGGCCAGGTAACTGCGCAATTCTTGCGCCAATCTGTTGGGCTGGGGGCCCTTCTGTTTCTCGGCCGCCAATTTTCTCTAGACAGCATCTGGTACCCTGGTGCGTTTGAGTGCTTCTGGAACCTCGATTGTGGCAGATTCCTTAGGCGCTTCCTCCTTTTTCAAGGATTGAGCCTCTGGAGCGATGCTCCCCTTTTTGGTCTTTGTTGACGTGGTTCCTTCTCCACAAGCCATAAATACATAGGAGTCCAAAATTAATTTATTTGCAGCCTTTTGATCCTTTTTACTCTGTAAATACTCTCTATTTAAAGCTATTTTTCTTTGGCGTTCCTTGTCCATATCGGCAATGAGAAAATCGTGAATATTTGTACTTAGTGAGTCCGAGATGTATGTGCAGAATCGTTCATGTCTTTAATCAAAACAAGTACAGAAAATTGTCCATAGTCCAGACGCTTCACCTCCTTGGCTAGAGGAGTGGAGCGCTTCAAAAACCCTTCTCATGCAGCTTCTCGGCAATCTCCTTGAGAAACTCGTTGTCCTTGTTCCCGTTCTCGATCTCTTCAAGCATCGTGGTGTTGGAGTATAGGCCCCAAGCACTATTGGCAGAATACCTCAGTTGGTTAGAGCACTAGTTGCACTTATCAGAGGTCCCAGGTTCAATTCCTGGTTCAGCCATTTTACCAACATGTGGCCCAGTTGAAGAATGTGCGCTTCTTCCTCGGTTCCAGACAGTTCCGCGTGATGTGTGTGGAGAATGGGTTTTGGACTTGATCACTCTCTGGTGATTGGGTCACATAATCACCTGATTCCATCTGATCACATCACTGATGATATCTGATTCCATCATTGTTCCCATCATTCCATCATTTTGGTCACATGACTTCTGATCACATGATTCCTATACAGTCACATGCTCTATCCACATAAATAGTTCCTCCCTCCCTGGAGTTCTTCAGCTTCTTACTGTTGACTCCAGGTCTGTAGATTCTTTTCTTGTCTTGTCTTGCAATGCAGAGCTTCTTACTGTTGACTCCAGTCCTCTCTGCATTTCCTGCTTCAACAGCTCCGTCCCCCCATTGGTGGCTCCAGCTGCTCCAGGGCCTTGCGTTTCTGAATCAGTGGCGTTTGCCGCGGACTTGGTGCCCGGGCTATTGGAGCAGACACCATGGATGTGAGGAAAGACAACAGGTGCACATTGTGTGCTTTCTTGAAGACAAAGAACACATAGATGGGTTTGTCCTGGGGCCTGATGTAGATGTTGCAGTCATGTGTTATGACAGGGCAACTTCCTAGAATGGCAGCAAATGACTTATAAAGAGCGGTAAGACTTATGCTTCATATCTTCTACAAGCTCTCATGGACTTGTCATATATAAGCTATGGTGAGAGTGCTCGTAATCCCATTGTCAATGTTACAGTGGCAGAGCTGCAAACCTGCATACAGGTGCTTTATAATGTCTTTGTCTGAGTCTCCTCATTAACCTCAGGATCACAGGCACTCTTTGATAGTGCTGTCCGTCTTGTGAAAAAAGAGGAGGATAAGTTCCTTGCGAATCACACCCAATCTATGCGTGGAATCTTGTAGCACATTGGATTGTTGTGTTCCAATCATGCTTGTGCGTGTAACTTGGCTCAAGTGGATGCATCACTTCTAGGGCTAATTGTATGAGCAGATTCATCCAAGGAAAAGAATCCCTTTCTTCGAATTGCAATGCTCTGAGTGCTTTCTGCTACTGTCAAGGCGTATGAAGTCTCTGCTGAGGTGTTCTACCTTACTGTTCATGACGGTCTGGACGCTATCTGGGCAGAATTCATAGCCATAAAGTCAGAGATTCTAGTGCAATCTACCGAGCATTCTGGAGCATCATCAACTCATCTTGCCCAATTTCAATCTCTGCTGAAAGACCAGCTACAGGCATGTGTCTCCTATCTGTGATGAGCATTCTCTTATTTCATGAAACTAGTTGCTCCTCGAGCATGTTATCCTCACGCGGAATGCAGCTGACCAAGAGTTTAAGGCTATTCATCACACTATAGAATGTATCACCGCAGATGTGAGCGCTCTCGGTTCCCAGGTTGTGGTTTACTTACCTTTGGGGCAGGTTTGTAGAGGCTGAGTCAGCAAATTGCGTCGATACAACATTGACACGTGTCAGGATTGGGCTTGCCTTGTTTTGTGGCTAGTCCTTGGATTTGGAGTCACCATGACTTTGTTCTTGATCTACGGTTGAGTACATATGAATGACAGTACACCCTGACAGCACATTGTCTTTGTTGCATATCTTGCTTGATTACACATCTTTGCATTTCTAGATGCATAATTGAGGGTGTAGCCAGCCTTCCTTGCATATATACCACCCTCTCTCTCACTGGTTCGTGTTCAGCACTGGTAGTAATGCTCATGCATAAACTGGGTTGGGTGGCTATGCCACGCAGCCACCCGACTTGCCCTTTCGTAGGTAACTTACATAACATGTGCATCACTTTGCGATGTTTGTATACACCATCACTGCATTAGCTGTTGTCAATTGCTTGCTTGCTTCTAACGTCCAGCCACACCAAAGTGAGCGCACTGTCTGAAACGAGTACAATGTGCACCCCGTCCAGTGGTACAGTGGACAGATGAAGAAACATGTCGGCCTCCCACCAAGATGCATCACTGTAACAAGCACCTCAAGATCAAGCAAGGCAATCCAAGATGACATCAAGCTACCAGTCCTCACTTGCTATGGTGTTGTCTGTCAGGACTCATGCTCAAAGGAACTGTCTAGTCTGCCATCTTGAACTTATAGCTTGTATCTGCGCGCTTGTGCCCTCAAACACACAAGCAGGTTGGGCCACTGCTTTGCAACATAATGGTTCACAACAACACCATATCAATGTTGATGTTGAAGTGTGGAAGGGATGTCTTGCTTGATTCAGACAAAAGAGTGTTACTTAGCTATGTTGTCAGGGGAACCCCCTCTCAAGGTTGCCCTTACATATGTGACCATCAGTACATAGCCCTAGATCAATGTGACAGACTGGGCTTTTTGCCTCCCATCTGTGCCCCTAGCCTCCTGCGGCTCCCATCTGAGTTTTCTGTGTTCAACAATTAAGAGTCCATTTATTGCTCCCAGGAAGCAAGTCGGAGAGAGCAAGATCCTGGTCTGCAAGTGCGCTGAAGCTTGGATCTGTTCTGTACAGATCACAATATGGATGCAAGAGTGCAAAGAGGAAGGCTGAATCTGAGCTTGATGAGATCGAGCTCTCGAGACAAACAAGTGCTTGCTGCCACATGCATCATTCACGATGAGATCAAGCCATAGAGGCAAACAAGTGCTCGCTGCCACCCGCATTGTCCACGATGGCATCGGGCCTTCAAGACAAACAAACGCTTGCTCTCATCTGCATTGTTCACCGCTTCCCACTCTATGCCTCTCTTAACCGCTGTGCAAAAGAAGATCGTGCGCTGTCTGCACAGTTGTGAAACTGGGGGCGTGTGAGTGGTGTTGAACACAGAAAACTCAGATGGGAGCCGCAGGAGGCTAGGGGCACAGATGGGAGGCGAAAAGCCCAGTAGGTCACATTGATCTGATGCTATATACTGTGCGTCACAGAGTAATGTCACATCCTTTGTCCGAACCAAGCACACACAAAATCCACACATCAACACTCCCACCCTTGGGAGGACAAAGCAATCCAGAAACCCAGCCACTCCCACCCAACTGAGACACTCCCACTCCCACCCAATTGAAATCCACCAGATCCTCGAAAATCCGCACAGCCCCTGCACCCAATTCGAGTCTTCTTCAGCATCCAAGTCGATCTGCAGAGATCCAGCAGAGATCCAGGGAGATCTAACAAGATCTGGCCAATCCACCAAGATCCAACAAGATCCAAGGAGATCCAATGCGATTTTCGGCCTTCACAAGACAGGGTAGGGTGGTGGGGACTGGTGTGTGCAAGGGGCAGCAGCACAGAGCGAAATTCGTCGAAATCCATCGAAATCAGGAAAGGAGGGAGGTGTAGGGGCAGGGAGAGTGGCAGAGGAAAAGTGGTGAAGCAGGGGGCACTCCAGGGGAATGTGTGTATGTAGCAGCTGTGTGGTAGCTGTGAACTCATCTGCATGAATCTGACACCCTCCCCAACATCTCCACCCAAGATCTGGCTGATCCATCCTAATCCCTTCCTCCAACATGGTTGTGTTGAAGCAGGAAATGCAGAGAGGACTGGAGTCAACAGTAAGAAGCTCTGCATTGCAAGAGAAAACAAGAAAAGAATCTACAGACCTGGAGTCAACAGTAAGAAGCTGAAGAACTCCAGGGAGGGAGGAACTATCTATGTGGATGGAGCATGTGACTGTATAGGAATCATGTGACCAAAATGATGGAATGATGGGAACAGTGATGGAATCAGATATCATCATTGATGTGATCAGTAATAGGATCAGATGGAATCAGGTGATCATGTGACCCAATCACCAGAGAGTGATCAAGTCCAAAACCCATCCTCAACACTCCCCCGGGATGAGATCAGTCTCTCAGCCTCTCCCCCGCAATCTCATCAGTGTGCGCAACCTTGCCACCTGAGGCCGAGGCAGCGCCTTGGTCAGGATGTCAGCCAGCTGGTCCTGCGTTGGCACATACTTCACATCAATGAACCCTCTGGCCACTTCATCCCTAAGCCAGTAGTGCGCAAGGTCCAGATGCTTCATACGCCCATGGTGTTCAGGATTCTTGGACACAGATATGGCAGACTGGTTGTCCATCATCAAGGGAGATGCCCCAGACACACCATGCTCCAGCTCGTGCAGCAGATTCCGCATCCACTTGATCTCCTTCCCAGCATCCACACCAGCCACATACTCTGCCTCAGTAGTGGACAGAGAGATGGTGGACTGCAGCTTGCTCCTCCAGCTCACTGGTCCACCAGCCATCATAATGACATACCCCCCAGTGCTTTTCATGGAGTCCTTGTCTCCAGCATGATCAGCATCAGTGAAGGTGGTGAAGAGGTCGTCAGGATGGATATGGGTGGCTGGGTCATAGAGGGTGGGGGAAGATTTGGAGTAGGTGATGCGGAAGTCAAGGGTGCCCTGGATGTATCGAAGCAGGTGTTTGACAGCCTTCCAGTGCTCTTCACCAGGATTGCTATTGAAGCGCGCTAGCACCCCCACAGCATAGGAGATGTCAGGACGAGTCTGACAGGCCAGATACATCAGAGAGCCAACAGCAGACAGATAGTTGCCCTTGAACTGCTTGGACTCCTCCTCAGTCTTGGCGCCCATCTCCTTGGTCAAAGACAGGCCAGGCAGCATGGGGGTGTCCACAGGCTTGCAGTCAGCCATGCCATACTGTTGATAAAATGGCTGAACCAGGAATTGAACCTGGGACCTCTGACTTGGATCGTCCAGTGCTCTAACCACTGAGCTATTCTGCCTTGGTGCTGGGATTCCCAACTCCAACACATACTGCTCCAGGAGATTCACAGCATACTGGCGCTGGGAGATGCTGATGTCCCCAGTGTGCTCATCACGCTCTATCTTGATCCCCAGAAGCCACTCTGTGGGACCCAGATCCCGCACCTTGAAGGCCGTGCCAAGCTGGGCAATGACCTTGTCAATGTCAGCATCATGCTTTGCAGCAATGGTGCCATCATCAACATAGATGGGCAGGATCACGCGCACCACACCATCAGAGTAGATGTGGCAGGAGCTGTCTGACTTGATGCACTTGAACCCCATGGCAGTCAGCTTGGCAACCAACTTGATACGCCACTGGCGGCCGGCCTGCTTCAGCCCATAGATGGACCGGTTCAGCTTCAGGACCTGGCCCTTCTCTCCCTGGGGAAACCCTTCTGGCTGAGTCATGTAGACATCCTCATCCAGGTCCCCATTGAGGTAGGCAGAAGAGAAGTCGATGGAGCGCAGTTTGAGGTTGTTCTGGGCAGCGAGGGCAAGTATGACGCGCAGAGTAGCAGGTCGGAACGTGGGTGCAAACACCTCGTGGTAGTCAATGCCATAGCGCTGGCCACGACCATCTGCCACGAGTCTGGCTTTGTAGCGTTCCACAGTGCCATCAGACTTGTGTTTGATCACAAACACCCATTGAGAGCGAATTGGCTTGACCCCTTGTGGCAAGTCGACCACATCCCATGTGCAGTTGCTGAGCAGAGAGTCAATCTCAGATGCAGCTGCAGCGCGCCATAGTGGACCATCCTCCCGCTTGGACGCTTCAAAGAGCGACCTGGGGTTCCCAGAGGCTACAGCAGACAACACGGACTGCACTGCAGTAGCGTGAGCTGCTGCCAGCTTGGGATCTGAGGGGTCACCCTCACGAGCCACAATGAGGGCGGAGGATGACTTCAGAAGCAGCTCATCATCGCTGAGGTCTTCAGGGATCTCTTCAAAGATCTCTGCTATGGTGCGCCTGGGAGGAGCAGCAGCCGGAGCTGGAGCCCTCCTGGGTGGTGCAGGGACACGATGGATGCCGGCAGCAGCACGACGAGCTGCCACCCCAATAGGAGATTGGGGAGGAGGAGGCGAGGGTGGAGGGTGAAGCGAGGCATCCCCAGCCGGTGGTGGAGATAGAGGTGGTGGAGCTCGACGTAGAAAGTCGATTTCATTATCACTGCTGGCTGCAGGAGATGGGACTTGTGGTGCAGAGAGAGGATGAGCAGGCGGCTGTTGCTGCTCATCATCACCATCGTCATCAGGGACATACACCGGTGCCGGAGCACGAGGGGGATCCACCAGCATGGAGGAGGGGGGTGCCGCAGGACAGCTCCTCATAGCTTGAGGGGTGCTGCCTGGGAAGTAGCGCTCATCAAACACTGCTCTCTCAGCGATAACGAGTTTCCGGGTCTCTGGGTTGAAGAACAACCATCCCTTGTACCCTGCAGGGTAGCCTACAAAGATACACTTCTGGACATGATGCCCAGAAGGACCTCTCTTGTCTCTTTGCACATGCACATAGGCAAGGCATCCCCAAACACGCAGATGAGACACATCAGGCTTTGCCTTGAACCACAGCTCATGGGGAGTCCTGGTAGGGTCTCGAGCTGTGGGGTGCATGTTGCACACATGGATGTATGCAGACACCGCCAGTGCCCTGAATGCAGGGGGCAGGTTGGCTTCGTGTAACATGGCAGTGGAGTGCTCATCAACGGTGCGGTTAGACCGCTCTGCTGTCCCATTCTGTTGGTGATGGGTTTTGGACTTGATCACTCTCTGGTGATTGGGTTACATGATCATCTGATTCCATCTGATCTTATCAATGATCACATCACTGATGATATCTGATTCCATCACTGTTCCCATCATTCCATCATTTTGGTCACATGACTTCTGATCACATGATTCCTGTATAGTCACATGCTCTATCCACATAGATAGTTCCCCCCTCCCTGGAGTTCTTCAGCTTCTTACTGTTGACTCCAGGTCTGTAGATTCTTTTCTTGTTTTCTCTTGCAATGCAGAGCTTCTTACTGTTGACTCCAGTCCTCTCTGCATTTCCTGCTTCAACAGGTTATGGGCCCCTGCCTCTAGAGTGCCTCTGAGTCATCTATTCTGAGATTTTCGAGTTTTTTCCATTCTCTGATTTTCTCTGCCTGCTGCTGCCTGCTTGCCCCAGTCCTACTACTGTAGTTGACATCTCTGCTGCCTGTTCTGTTCTCTTTTTCCTCTGCTCTTATAGTGTCTGTGGTTCAGGCACTAGTAGTTGGGACTCTATCCTTAAGTGGGTGTGCTCTTTGGTCCATCAGGAAACACCAGGTAGTCATTCCTGTGATCCTGAGGTTGAGACAGCTAGGTGCCTGAGATCAACACACTCCTGAGAGCCTGTAGCTACATAGATACACCCCCTACATCATTCTGGGCGCATTTTTGAGCACAGCATGGCATCAAATTCCCACTCTCATCCATCAGTCTTTTCTCCTTCTGCTGCCCTGGCAGCTGCACCTGCTTCTGCTCAGCCATTGTGTTATGCCTGTTATCAACATGGCCACACACTCCTAAAATGCCCAGAGTTTCTGTCTCTCCTAGAGGACAATGCTTCTGAGCCTGAGCCAGAGCCTGAGCCTGAGCCTAGGCCCAGGCCTAGGAAGGGTGCAGTCAAGTCTGAAGTGGCCACTCATACAAGCCTTCTCTCCCACTCCACTGCAGACCCTGAGTTGAGGTGGATTGCAAATTCTGGTGCTACATCACACATGACCCATTGTGTGCACCTGCTGCAGAACACTCGTCCTCATAGAGCACCCATCAGAGTGGCTAATGGACTGGTGGTCTATTCAGAGCTTGTGGGGGAGATAGTGCTTAGGCCACTGATCCATGGACATGCCAGGAGCCGGTCTGTGATCCTCTCCAATGTGCTCTATGTCCCTGCTCTGTCACACAATCTGATCTCCACTACATACCTGTCAGTTCACCATGACTACACTGTGCTCATGAAGGAAAACTACATCCTATTCAAGCGCAATGGTGAAGTGTACTTTGTGGCAGACATCTCAGAGCAGGGTCAGGCATTTGTGAGAGAGACTGGTTTCCCTTCTGCTGGTTCAGCACTGGTCTCTACAGCTGGGACTCTTCCCATTGACCTCAGCCTGATGCACAGGCGGCTTGGACACCACAGTGATACCAAGCTAGTCATGGATAAAGAGCTAGTTACTGGTGTGAGGCTTGCCTCTGCTAGGAAGCCAGACCCCATCTGTGAGCCATGCCTCTTTGGCAAGCTGAATGCTGGCCTGTTTCCTTCAACTGGTCATCGTTCTGGAGCGCCTCTTGATCTTATTCACTCTGATCTAAAGAGCTACTCTGTGCCCACCCGCGAGGGCTGGAAGCACAGGGTGACTTTTGTTGATGATCACACTGGCTTCAAGGTAGCATACCACATGAAGAACAAGAGTGAGACATTTGCAGCCCTTAAGATGTTTCAAGCGTATGCTGAGACTCACTGGGGGCTGAAGATCAAGGCATTCCAGGACGATGAAGGGGGAGAGTACATGTCTAATGAGTTCAGATCACATCTGGACAAGTGTGGCATTGTGCACCGCCATTCAGTCAGGGCACGGCCTCAGCAGAATGGGACAGCAGAGCGGTCTAACCGCACCGTTGATGAGCACTCCACTGCCATGTTACACGAAGCCAACCTGCCCCCTGCATTCAGGGCACTGGCGGTGTTTGCATACATCCATGTGTGCAACATGCACCCCACAGCTCGAGACCCTACCAGGACTCCCCATGAGCTGTGGTTCAAGGCAAAGCCTGATGTGTCTCATCTGCGTGTTTGGGGATGCCTTGCCTATGTGCATGTGCAAAGAGACAAGAGAGGTCCTTCTGGGCATCATGTCCAGAAGTGTATCTTTGTAGGCTACCCTGCAGGGTACAAGGGATGGTTGTTCTTCAACCCAGAGACCCGGAAACTCGTTATCGCTGAGAGAGCAGTGTTTGATGAGCGCTACTTCCCAGGCAGCACCCCTCAAGCTATGAGGAGCTGTCCTGCGGCACCCCCCTCCTCCATGCTGGTGGATCCCCCTCGTGCTCCGGCACCGGTGTATGTCCCTGATGACGATGGTGATGATGAGCAGCAACAGCCGCCTGCTCGTCCTCTCCCTGCACCACGAGTCCCATCTCCTGCAGCCAGCAGTGATGATGAAATCGACTTTCTACGTCGAGCTCCACCACCTCTATCTCCACCACCAGCTGGAGATGCCCCGGTTCACCCTCCACCCTCGCCTCCTCCTCCCCAATCTCCAATTGGGGTGGCAGCTCGTCGTGCTGCTGCTGGCATCCATCGTGTCCCTGCACCACCCAGGAGGGCTCCAGCTCCAGCTGCTGCTCCTCCCAGGCGCACCATGGCAGAGATCTTTGAAGAGATCCCTGAAGACCTCAGTGACGATGAGCTGCTTCTGAAGTCATCCTCTGCCCTCATTGTGGCTCGCGAGGGTGACCCCTCAGATCCCAAGCTGGCAGCAGCTCACGCTACTGCAGTGCAGTCCGTGTTGTCTGCTATAGCCTCTGGGAACCCCCGGTCATTCTTTGAAGCGTCCAAGCGGGAGGATGGTCCACTATGGCGCGCTGCAGCTGCATCTGAGATTGACTCTCTGCTCAGCAACTGCACATGGGATGTGGTCGACTTGCCACAAGGGGTCAAGCCAATCCGCTCTCAATGGGTGTTTGTGATCAAACACAAGTCTGATGGCACTGTGGAACGCTACAAAGCCAGACTCGTGGCAGATGGTCGTGGCCAGCGCTATGGCATTGACTACCACGAGGTGTTTGCACCCACCTTTAGACCTGCTACTCTGCGCGTTATCCTTGCTCTGGCTGCCCAGAACAACCTCAAGTTGCGCTCCATCGACTTCTCTTCTGCCTACCTCAATGGGGACCTGGATGAGGATGTCTACATGACTCAGCCAGAAGGGTTCCCTCAGGGAGAGAAGGGCCAGGTGCTGAAGCTGAACCGGTCCATCTATGGACTGAAGCAGGCTGGCCGCCAGTGGCGCATCAAGTTGGTTGCCAAGCTGACTGCCATGGGGTTCAAGTGCATCAAGTCAGACAGCTCCTGCCACATCTACTCTGATGGTGTGGTGCGCGTGATCCTGCCCATCTATGTTGATGATGGCACCATTGCTGCAAAGCATGATGCTGACATTGACAAGGTCATTGCCCAGCTTGGCACGGCCTTCAAGGTGCGGGATCTGGGTCCCACAGAGTGGCTTCTGGGGATCAAGATAGAGCGTGATGAGCACACTGGAGACATCAGCATCTCCCAGCGCCAGTATGCTGTGAACCTCCTGGAGCAGTATGGCATGGCTGACTGCAAGCCTGTGGACACCCCCATGCTGCCTGGCCTGTCTCTGACCAAGGAGATGGGAGCCAAGACTGAGGAGGAGTCCAAGCAGTTCAAGGGCAACTATCTGTCTGCTGTTGGCTCTCTGATGTACCTGGCCTGTCAGACTCGCCCTGACATCTCCTATGCTGTGGGGGTGCTAGCGCGCTTCAATAGCAATCCTGGTGAAGAGCACTGGAAGGCTGTCAAGCACTTGCTGCGATACATCCAGGGCACCCTTGACTTCCGCATCACCTACTCCAAATCCTCTCCCACCCTCTATGACCCAGCCACCCATATCCATCCTGACGACCTCTTCACCACCTTCACTGATGCTGATCATGCTGGAGACAAGGACTCCATGAAAAGCACTGGGGGGTATGTCATTATGATGGCTGGTGGACCAGTGAGCTGGAGGAGCAAGCTGCAGTCCACCATCTCTCTGTCCACTACTGAGGCAGAGTATGTGGCTGGTGTGGATGCTGGGAAGGAGATCAAGTGGATGCGGAATCTGCTGCACGAGCTGGAGCATGGTGTGTCTGGGGCATCTCCCTTGATGATGGACAACCAGTCTGCCATATCTGTGTCCAAGAATCCTGAACACCATGGGCGTATGAAGCATCTGGACCTTGCGCACTACTGGCTTAGGGATGAAGTGGCCAGAGGGTTCATTGATGTGAAGTATGTGCCAACGCAGGACCAGCTGGCTGACATCCTGACCAAGGCGCTGCCTCGGCCTCAGGTGGCAAGGTTGCGCACACTGATGAGATTGCGGGGGAGAGGCTGAGAGACTGATCTCATCCCGGGGGAGTGTTGAGGATGGGTTTTGGACTTGATCACTCTCTGGTGATTGGGTCACATGATCACCTGATTCCATCTGATCCTATTACTGATCACATCAATGATGATATCTGATTCCATCACTGTTCCCATCATTCCATCATTTTGGTCACATGATTCCTATACAGTCACATGCTCCATCCACATAGATAGTTCCTCCCTCCCTGGAGTTCTTCAGCTTCTTACTGTTGACTCCAGGTCTGTAGATTCTTTTCTTGTTTTCTCTTGCAATGCAGAGCTTCTTACTGTTGACTCCAGTCCTCTCTGCATTTCCTGCTTCAACACATTCTGCTGAGGCCGTGCCCTGACTGAATGGCGGTGCACAATGCCACACTTGTCCAGATGTGATCTGAACTCATTAGACATGTACTCTCCCCCTTTATCGTCCTGGAATGCCTTGATCTTCAGCCCCCAGTGAGTCTCAGCATACGCTTGAAACATCTTAAGGGCTGCAAATGTCTCACTCTTGTTCTTCATGTGGTATGCTACCTTGAAGCCAGTGTGATCATCAACAAAAGTCACCCTGTGCTTCCAGCCCTCACAGGTGGGCACAGAGTAGCTCTTTAGATCAGAGTGAATGAGATCAAGAGGCGCTCCAGAACAATGACCAGTTGAGGGAAACAGGCCAGCATTCAGCTTGCCAAAGAGGCATGGCTCACAGATGGGGTCTGGCTTCCTAGCAGAGGCAAGCCTCACACCAGTAACTAGCTCTTTATCCATGACTAGCTTGGTATCACTGTGGTGTCCAAGCCGCCTGTGCATCAGGCTGAGGTCAATGGGAAGAGTCCCAGCTGTAGAGACCAGTGCTGAACCAGCAGAAGGGAAACCAGTCTCTCTCACAAATGCCTGACCCTGCTCTGAGATGTCTGCCACAAAGTACACTTCACCATTGCGCTTGAATAGGATGTAGTTTTCCTTCATGAGCACAGTGTAGTCATGGTGAACTGACAGGTATGTAGTGGAGATCAGATTGTGTGACAGAGCAGGGACATAGAGCACATTGGAGAGGATCACAGACCGGCTCCTGGCATGTCCATGGATCAGTGGCCTAAGCACTATCTCCCCCACAAGCTCTGAATAGACCACCAGTCCATTAGCCACTCTGATGGGTGCCCTGTGAGGACGAGTGTTCTGCAGCAGGTGCACACAATGGGTCATGTGTGATGTAGCACCAGAATCTGCAATCCACCTCAACTCAGGGTCTGCAGTGGAGTGGGAGAGAAGGCTTGTATGAGTGGCCACTTGAGACTTGACTGCACCCTTTCTGGGCCTAGGCCTAGGCACAGGCTCAGGCTCAGGCTCTGGCTCAGGCTCAGAAGCATTGTCCTCTAGGAGAGACAGAAACTCTGGGCATTTTAGGAGTGTGTGGCCATGTTGATAACAGGCATAACACAATGGCTGAGCAGAAGCAGGTGCAGCTGCCAGGGCAGCAGAAGGAGAAAAGACTGATGGATGAGAGTGGGAATTTGATGCCATGCTGTGCTCAAAAATGCGCCCAGAATGATGTAGGGGATGTATGTATGTAGCTACAGGCTCTCAGGAGTGTGTTGATCTCAGGCACCTAGCTGTCTCAACCTCAGGATCACAGGAATGACTACCTGGTGTTTCCTGATGGACCAAAGAGCACACCCACTTAAGGATAGAGTCCCAACTACTAGTGCCTGAACCACAGACACTATAAGAGCAGAAAAAAACAGAACAGAGGGGAGCAGGGATGTCAACTGCAGTAGCAGGACTGGGGCAAGCAGGCAGCAGCAGGCAGAGAAAATCAGAGAATGGAAAAAACTCGAAAATCTCAGAATAGATGACTCAGAGGCACTCTAGAGGCAGGGGCCCATAACCTGTTGAAGCAGGAAATGCAGAGAGGACTGGAGTCAACAGTAAGAAGCTCTGCATTGCAAGAGAAAACAAGAAAAGAATCTACAGACCTGGAGTCAACAGTAAGAAGCTGAAGAACTCCAGGGAGGGAGGAACTATCTATGTGGATGGAGCATGTGACTGTATAGGAATCATGTGACCAAAATGATGGAATGATGGGAACAGTGATGGAATCAGATATCATCAGTGATGTGATCAGTAATAGGATCAGATGGAATCAGGTGATCATGTGACCCAATCACCAGAGAGTGATCAAGTCCAAAACCCATCCTCAACAGGTTGTACAGTGTAGCAGTGGTGGATGAAGTCGAAATGGTGGTCCTGGGGGTGGCAGATGGTGGCAGATGGTGGCAGAATGGAGATCAGGCAAGATCGGAAAAATGCGCAGCAAGGGGAAGGCCAATGAGGGGCAGGGGGAGAAGAAGAGGGTTTAAAGATGGGTCAGAGCGGGGCTCATAACCTGTTGAACACAGAAAACTCAGATGGGAGCCGCAGGAGGCTAGGGGCACAGATGGGAGGCGAAAAGCCCAGTAGGTCACATTGATCTGATGCTATATACTGTGCGTCACAGAGTAATGTCACATCCTTTGTCCGAACCAAGCACACACAAAATCCACACATCAACAAGTGGTCACGGTCTCCTTGGTACTAGATGCTTACCTTGGGTGCAGGACACAAGTCAATCTCAGCTTCATATCTCCCTCCCAACTTTACAAAACGTATGTGAAGGACGGGCGCAGATGGCTGTATACACTTGTCACCATCCCTGAACGAATGCTCAAAGACTTCTTTTCTGGTTTGCTCACATTGTCCGATCTGTTCTCCGTCTCGAGGGTGAAGGCCGGCCATGCCGTCCACTTCCGACGCCAACAGAGAGAGTACCACTGATGCGAGCGATCCGGGTATGCGTTCATCTGGCTGAAGTTGTATAGCGTGTCGAGACGAATGTGCTTTGGTGCGCTCCTCACCGCATGCCCAATTCACTTTACTGACGCGTTTCAGAGCACATTGTTCATACTGCTCTGGACTCGATCGGCCAGCGGGCGAAGGTTTCATGCAGCTGCAAAGGCTACATGTGACTGCATCACAAATTTTGGAGGCTCTCTGACATTGGAGGCTTAGCCAGCCTGAAGCACATTGTTGGATTGTGCGCCAAGTCTGCTGGCAAATCACTTGCGGATTAGACCGGTAAGCCCTGCGATCTTTCAGACTGTCTCTACTAATCTTCATTTTCAGGTGCTTGAGGTCGTGTACATACAGCTCCTGTACATTTATGTGAAACTTGATTGTCCCTTATCAGCACCGCAGCACCGCCAATGGAAGATAAGATGAAATGGCATCCTTTCCAACAAACCGCCATGACCCAGCCCTACATCTCACTCACGCAACCTCACTGGCCAAGAACACACCAATACGCATCACCGTCATCTGCAGCTCCTTGGGACTCAAGCAAAGGTTGTCAAGGACGTATTGGAGCTTAGCCCACTCCACGCTCTTTTCCGACAACGCTCCCATCCGCCTTTGCATTTGCCCTCTAACTTACGCACTTCTTTTGCAACCAGTCTGTGTCTCTTGATGCCGAGCAGTCTACCCCCATTGCCTACCAGCTTGCCAGCCACCATGTACAAACCATGATCGAGACGCAGGTGCAGCTGAGAATGGAAACAAGGATGAGGAAGACAAGGATGACCCATTGAGCCATGCATACTCATGTACAGACACTTGCAGACGGGTGACGGAGCTGGGACACCGTGCGGACGTCTTGCAACAGACGCGGAGAGGATTGGGAGGCCCACCAGGACCCGTACATGACTAGTGGAAGGTTGGAGGAGGACCTGGAGATGGACGCGTTGATCAAGGACTGGAAGCGGACGTGGCTCCATGTGCTGAACTAGACGCTGTGGGCTGACCCTAACCATTGCCACGAGCTGATGCTGGGCGCGTTTCAGACCATCGATCTGCTTGCAAATTTTGAATGGGAGTTGCCGGGTTTCAGAGCAGGTTTCAGCCCTCATGATAGAGTCCCAATATCGTTTCCGACGTCAGTTCAATGACTTACATGCGTTGTTGTTGCTGATTGATTTTGAGTGGGCGTTCCGAGAGTAAGCACAATCCACAGCGAAGGTCAGTAAGGGCGCGTCGCGCCTCTTGTTGTCTGCACGCGTTGTCTAACCTTTGTCTCTGATAGATCTGGATCCAAACCAGCTGCTAGCTTAGGTGTCTGCAACTTGTTTGCAAAGGGATATCTGACCTCGGGAGCATATGTGTGTTGTTGTAATTTGTGCGGGTGTGCTTACCAGCAATACAGGGCTTGCAAATTGTATTGGCAACAGCGGATTTCTATCATCTCCGTCCATGTTGTAGTGTCGTTTCCGTAGCAGATATAGAGCCGAAATGAATTGGTTCGCAAAGCAGGTACATAGAGTACTTCATTAAGCTCTTGATCTCTCTGCCGCAGTCCAGACAGAAACACACCAACCCGACACCTTCTGCGTAGATCACAGAGTCTTCTCTCAACTGGATGGGATCGGAGCTGCTGCGCACCTCGGATGGTGACGCTGTGCACTAGTCTTCCCGCTACAAGCTGTACCTCTACACAGCCACCTGAGTCGCAATCAGTCAGCTTTGATCAAGTGTACACTCTCCACCGGGAAACCCTCCTGACCATCTGTCGGGGGAAATGGCCTGGGTACGGAATAGCGGGGATTTTATCACTTGTCTCGGCTCTGATCTCTGTGCGTCTGTAGGGGATCAGAGGATCAGAAGTGATAGACCTGAAGCATGCACTGTTACATAGCAGCTAAATAGAGACTGGTCTGCGCAGATCAGGCGAGAGAGAGCGCACCAAAGGAATCTCTGATTCTTCTCGCGTTCTGAAAAATATCCATTGCATAGCTTGCTTTCATTCTGATCTGATACTGGTAGGAGGTGATAGAAGAACATATATAAGTAGGTAATAGTAGGATACATCAAAGAGCGGTGTGGGCGTAATACTGTACGTAGGGTAGGTGAATGTGTCATAATTTGGCCACTTTTTATCTTATCTTCGACAATCTCATCTTATCTTGGCACGACTTATCTTATCACGGATCATGGCATCAGACGGTCCGGGCTAGGGGTTCCAGGGATTATCTTCATCGATTCGAGGCTGCGCTACATATGCTCCGGAAGGTTTTACTACAACCCATGACTAGTGCTCCATGCGGTACATAGCCCTATGACTCATTAGTTGTAGATATGACTCAGACTGGATTTGGGTATAAATACTGTAGCTACTTGGTTGTATTCTCCAGTCTTCGAATTCACTTCTCTTTTCGACTTTATTTTTGGGTTGATTGTCACATAATTCGAAGACTCCCCTCATACCCTCCTACCTCATACCTCTTACCCTGCATCCCGCACTGCTACGCCTGCTATATCCTCTTAACCCTTATCAACAAACTTACCCTTTTACCGATGAAATGCTGAGGGCGTGCTCACAGGTGAATCTACTATGAAAGTAAACCCAAATATAAACACGTTCACACTCCTCGTAATCAGCTTCTCAGTGTGTGAAAGATGCGAGGGCTTTGGGGTGGACAGAGCACCAGTATCACAACTCTCAATAGACGCAGATCAATAGTCGCGGAAGACAAAGTCGACGACAAGAATATATATAGTAAACAATAGTGTCACAACCAACACTAATCCAATCACAACCAACAATATAACAAGTCAGAACTTAATACGAAGTATTAAGATCCCTTGCAGCGACAGTGTCCAGATGGCGACGCAAAGCCCAAAATGTCAAGTTGACGCACTGCCAACTGACACAACCAAAAGTACTGAGTCAACGCACTGCCAACTAGTAAACCAAAATGCCGCGTCGACGCACTGCCAACTAACAGCCAATATCCAATGTCCAAAAACCCAAGCACAACTTGTCGACGCACTGCCAAGCAAGAAGTGTGGAACCAAAGTTCTCAAGTCGACGCACTGCCAACTGACCAAAACAACCCGAGCACAACTAGTCGACGCACTGCCAAGCTAGAAGTGTGGAACAATCTCAAACAAAGCCCAAAGGCAACGACACTAGATGCCACGACTGAACCAGATGCGGCAAATCCGACTTTCTGATGTCTCAAAACTCAAACTCAAATCACAGTAGCTACAAGCGCTCAGGGAGCAACTCGTCGCGACCGGGCAGGGGTAGCAGAACTTCTTAGGGTGGAATCTGTTGAAGCAGGAAATGCAGAGAGGACTGGAGTCAACAGTAAGAAGCTCTGCATTGCAAGACAAGACAAGAAAAGAATCTACAGACCTGGAGTCAACAGTAAGAAGCTGAAGAACTCCAGAGAGGCAAGAACTATCTATGTGGATGGAGCATGTGACTGTATAGGAATCATGTGACTTGGAGTCATGTGACCAGAATGATGGAATGATGGGAACAGTGATGGAATCAGTTATCATCAGTGATGTGATCAGTGATAGGATCAGATGGAATCAGTGATCATGTGACCCAATCACCAGAGAGTGATCAAGTCCAAAACCCATCACCAACAGAATCACGCGGCACGCAAATTGTACAAAACAATCTGAAATGAGAGTGATTCACAGTCCCGGGGAAAGCTTTTTAATACAAAGAAACGACGTGCTACTTATACTGTCTACGACGATGCTTAGTAAAGTCCTGTACAACTGCATAGTAGCTACGCTATCTAAGATCGGTTGCCTTTTAGGGTAATTGAAAAGTTGAACAATCGGACAGGACCTGAGTGATCAGGACCCCGCCCCATAGTCCATATGATACTTTTGATGTGGGTCAACCCACCGCGTCATACTTTTGGAATACGACGTGTTGGATTGGCCGACGGGTATGTCTTGGCAAGTGAGCCCAACGTGGGCGCCCCAAGAAGCCGTATGGCCCTAGGCACGCCAGTCGTTCCCCACATGGCTCGGTTCACGGATCTAGCCGTGTCGGTCTTAGTGTATTTGGGTATGGACGCAACTCGCTGTGACACTTGGAAGTGTCACCGCGATGTGTCCACAATGCCCCGTGATCGAATGGATCCTGACATGTAACAAGTTGTCGCCGTGGCATGATCTGAGGAAACGTCCAACTCAAAACCGGGAGTTGCCGCGACAAGATGGTTTAGATCTCGTAACGCCAAGTCCTGTCCAGTAGTAGTTGTATTATTGAGAACGTCGCACATTGCTCAGCCCTTCAGCCCAAGTTCCCATCTGCAGAGAATGACCCTTTTTGAGAAGTCGACGCAACGACAGATCCCTTTTTTGTTGAAGTGTGGAAAAGATGTCTTGCTTGGTTTAGACAAAAGAGTGTTACTTAGCTATGTGACCATCAGTACATAGCCCTAGATCAATGTGACAGACTGGGCTTTTCGCCTCCCATCTGTGCCCCTAGCCTCCTGCGGCTCCCATCTGTGTTTTCTGTATTCAACAGATTATTGGCCCCGCCCTGACCTATCCATCTACCCTTTTCCTTGCTCCCTCTGCGCATTTTTCGCTCTTTTTTCGCT